CTCACATCTGTTCCTTTCGCGAAGCGAATCGAGGTCCTTCACAAAAACATCTGCACTTCTCTAAAAATCTGTGGTTGTGAAGAGTTTCATTCCAAAACAATGTAAAAAAAAAAAAAAAAAAAAAAAAAAAAAAAAAAAAAGATGCCATATCTTGTACAGTGATTGATGTTTTTTTTAAATCATAGTACACTCAACGGAAAACCTCTCCAGACTGGATCTCTTTCATTTTTTGTTGATTGATTGATTGATGATTTATCTTTTTGTTTTCCTAAATGAACTTATAGCCTTTTCTGGAATCCAGCTCTTCATGTAGTAACAGACGAGGCTTTAAAAGAAAGATGTTTGTTTCTAATTTCTGTCTATGCTCTTATGTGTAGTCTTGGACATTTACTGAACATATTGTTCACATTAAGTTGTCTTTTGATTAATGGGGGGGGGGTGAATATTGTTGTACATTATGTAATTCAGTGTGGGATGATATTTATGTCTGCTCTTTTATTTTGTGTCTAGGAAACACATTCCAGAGATCTGTCAACGTACTTTCTCATCAACCAAACACAAAAAGTGGGATGCATTTTTTTTTTTTTTTCTTTCTTTCTCCTTAGGCTGCAGCAAATTGCCTGAAATCACAAGATGCTGCAGAACCCTGAAGCTTTTACTTACCGCCTTGATTTCAGGCCAAGAGGTTTTAGCGCAAACAACACAACCAAAAGCACTCATTGGTACTATGCACAAGCTGTCAGCAGATCTGCAGCCGTGACGGGTTTTCTGTGCATTTGCTGTGACATTTAAACTACTTGTGAAAGGTCAAAGTCTACTAGTTCACCATTGGCATAGTAATTGGTCTTTCCTGATCATGGACATGAGGCTCATGTGGGTTTCTGCAGACGGTCAGACCCAAAAAAACCTTCGAACAAACTGTCAGGATAAAATACTGAAGAGATACGAACAGCAATGCACTTAAATTGGCTTCACCTTGCACCTTTTTTTTTCACTTTTGCAATTTCGGTGACAAGAGAGAAAAGGTACTTTTGTGCAGCAACCTGAGCACTTGAGACAAAACGTCGTGTTTTACACACAACACAACACAACACAACCCCAGAGTTACAGTCAAGTCAAAACGTGTAATTTTCAAGAATCAGAGGGAATCTGAAGCCTGTGAAAACATCAACAACCGCTCTTTCCCAATGAGATGTTTGTAACGAAATGCGACCGTACTCTGTTCTGCCTGTCTGCTCAACTGGAACTCATGTTAATTATTGCAAGACAACAGCACATGCCCCTGGCTCTGTGATGTTCAGAGCAGCCCATGCGTAGAGAGAAGCGAGAGCGCGGATGTGAGAGGGATGGGAAATGAATGTGCGTTTAAATCTAACACAAGCTAACAACATCTGACAGTTTAAATCTAACAGGGGCATATTTGTTTGGATAGCCTGGCGAATTATGCAGACTCCCATTTTCTGTCCCGTCCTCCAGTCAATTGGAAAATTCCACACTCACCTTCTGAGCGAGCGTGGAAACAGGCTTTTCCCAAAACTGTAGTGGATGTGAATGTCCTGTGGTGGTCGATGACATGAAAACATTCACCTGAAGCCCCCTGGGAGAAAAACCATGAGGGGCCGAAACATTGTTTTTTCATGAAATTGTAAATAGCAGAATAGTGAAATTTTTAATTTATACAGTAAATTATTGTTATTTTGTATGTGAATGGGATATAATCTATCTTTTGTATAAGTGAAGTACCTTTGTAGTTTTATTTAATGTGTCCTGGTTGCAAAATAAACACTGTATGCATGTTTCTTAAGCCTGTGTGGTGCTTGTTCTTTCGTTTCGCTGCGTCCTTTCAGTAAAACACTATTTATTTCGTCATTGAAGATAATATTAAATACCCGAGTTGCTGAGAAGCACACAAATGCTGGATCAAGCTAATCCCGTTCACTCTTTCCGTTTGAAACCTTTTCAAACGGCGCAAAGTGATTTTGTAAAAATCTGTTTGACTCAAACAGATTTGGGCCTCAGTGTTTCCACGGCGGGACATCTGCAGCTCCTTTTTGTGTGAAGCTAAACACTTATCAGATTCGTGAAATGACTCCCAGACTGTTAGCAGATGCACAAACACGGAGGGAGGATTTGGCCGTGCCATATGTAACCCATTCTCCCCCCCCCCCCTGCCGAGATGAGGTCAAGCATGCAACCTGCACATTTTTAGAGGGAACAGCAGGAGGCCACCTTTACCACTGGAACACCATGAAAAAAAAACAAACATGGAAGGACGTGTAATAAACTGGAACACATGGGGGATGTTTGGACGCATGATTTATGAATACATGAAAGGTGTTTCTCTCGTGAAACGGTTTTAAAGGCCTCGATTTGTTTGTTTGTTGGCGGAAAGACTGGAACAGAAAAGCTCTGAATGATCCCATGTTTTCAAGAGTGTCCAAACAGGCTCCTATAGAAATGCATCCAGAATAATGAGGGCAAATACCTTTTGGCTGGAAAACCAAGATCAAGTTACCAGTTACCAGTTTGTTTGTTTGTTTGTTTGTTTGTTTGTTTGCAGGATTATGCAAAAACTTCTCACTGTCCATGACATTCTGTGGAGGGGACATGACCCAGGAGAGAACCCATCAAATTCTCCTGTGGGTCTGGATCAGGGTGTGGATCCAGGTTTCTTTTTTTCTTACTCTAACATCAGACAGTTTACAGGACTGATTTCTAGGTGCAATTGTGTGCAGATCCAAATAAAAATCTGGATCTAGTGAATTTAAATGTGGTTTCATAAGGGGACTGTTGGACCTACTGAGTGTCGCTCTATGGTTTTATCATGTTATTATTCTACTGATCATGAAGGAACCAGTGAAAACAAAACTATCTCTTCATCAGAATCTCTCTCAATTCAATTCAAGAGACAAGACACAGTGAATTGTAAATAATCCTCTCACTCCCCCTGCTGGTGACGATGAAAACAAGGCCCAGTCACGATTGTTCCCTCTGATATTATAAAAAAAAAAAAATCAAATAATCTTTATTGGCCAAACATGACCACAGATATGACTAAAACATTGATTAGATTTAAGTCAAAATACCTAAATGAAACTAGAGTGGCTCTCAGAGAGTTTCTACACCTGCCAAGGCCCAAGTGTCTCTTTATGAAACCACATTTAAAATGTAAAATTGTTTTCATCAAATTCACTTAATGAAAATGTGAAAAAAAACACCCGTCTCACATTGTTAAAATAAATCCCTGGACCCGGCCCCTGATTCCGATCCGCACCAGAATTGAACGAGTCCTTTCCTGACCCATGTCGCATCTTTCCACCAAGTTTCATGATGATCTGTCCAGAAGTTTTTGCCGAATCCTGGAAACAAACAAACCAACTCAACTTCAACTCTTATATTTGTTCACTGAGGTATTTTTGTCCCCAGTGTAACTTCTCTTATCAATACAACTCAAGTGAAATAGGTTCATAGGGCAGACAGACGTTTGAGGCCTTCCACACTTCCTCTCCTCTCAGTGTTTTTCCTCTCATCAGCCAGACATACCTCCACTCCTCTGGGTCGCTGTGAAAAGCCTCGGCCTCTCCAGTCAACCTTCCCACAGCCGAAGGAAAAGAAAGCGGCGTAAGCTGATCGCCCTGAACCCAAGTCGACCAGTAATTAAAGCAACAATGGGACAATGCTGGGCCAGTGTCTGGTTACTGTAAGAACGAGAAAGTGAGAAGAATGGAAGACAATACCTGTCGCTCTCTGCACTCAGGCTACCGAAGGTAGCCAGATTAGGAGAGAGGAATGACGGAGCAACAGAGGGACCTGGTCTCTGATGATGGAGGTGAAAAAAAAAGAAGTGCGTCAAAGAGGTTTACTGGCCGTGCACGAACTTGTCTGTTTGGATCTGCCTTGATCTGCAATACTGTCTATGACCCTGGTGCGATTAAGGTAGTGTTATGCCCTTCAGTGGTTTCGAGTACGTGCGTCGGCCTGTTTAATTCTCCAGACTTTCCTGCTATTATTGTAGCTTGAAGCCGCCGAACACTGTTTATATACACGACTCCTCCACATCTGCCTCCGGGGTCCACGATCAAGGATGAAAATAATCAAGAGATCATGTGAAATATGTTAAAAATGTGCAACTTACAGTGTTTTAAATGTCAGAGTTTTCTCTGTTTAATATCATCAGAGTTTGAGTTGTAGAGCTGGTTGATGTAATTTCCACCATCAGGGGCTCAGTGCCCAGCTCCCTCTGTCTACCTGTCAAAGTGTCTTTGAGCAACACACTCAACCCATAATTACTCCTCAAACTAATGTAGTGTGTCAGTTTGTTAGTTTAGTGTTATTTATTTATATTTCTTTGGCTTCAACAATAATGATATTTCTGATGTGATACAGGATTTCAAATATAAACTGAACAAAAACATTAAGCAAAAAATTTAAACATGTATTTTATGGTTTAGGTGGTTTGATTTACAGCAACACGTGTTGGTGTGATATGAACGATTGGTTAGAACCTAAACGCTACTTTTGGATTCATAATGGAAGATACGAATTTTGATTTGCTGCTTAACACTTTGCTTCATTTTTCCTTGATAAGTGTAAATATATGAAAACCCAGCATCTGTTTATGGTTTTCATTAAAGTCTTGTACTACAAATGCTGCCTT